AACCATTGTCATTAGTATGCATACACTTTGATAGTCAAGATGCAAAATTGGAGCATGTTGTATAATGGAAAGTCTCGTCATATAGGACATAGACATGATACCATTAGAAAATTACTCTCTAATGGAATTATCGGAATTGACTATGTAAAGTCAAAGGATAATGTGTCAGATCCACTTACAAAAAGGTCTAACTAGAGAGAAAGTTTAAAAATCATTTAAGGAATGGATTTACGGGTTAGGACAACTCATCATGGCAGTAACTTTGTCTAGCAGACTGAAGATCCCAATAGCTCGATTCAAGGAGAAAAACAAAATTGTGAATGACGGTTCGACATTGTCAACCAACTCAATCCATTCTCATGATGAAGATAATTCTTAAGACAAGGATACAACATTAAGGCTTATTAATGAGTTAATAAAGCTTAATGGTTTTAATGATTTGCTAAGTTTGGCAGAGTTGACCAAATAGTGTATCTACGTGATAATACGATTAGAAATCACCTATATGAGTGTGAAGTGTAAGCCGTTTCAAAGAGAATTATTGTCAAAAGTCTATTCTCTATACACTCATGAAATCGGGAGGTGTTCATGGCTGAAACGAACACAACTGTAAGAACCATAAATGGTAAAGGGTTAATTGTGTGACATATGGTTGTCTAGGTATACACCAAAGCTCGATGGTTCAAAGATATCGCATCTATCGATTGACCGAGTATATCCGACATATGTTCACTATGAGAAGTCCAAGGAGAAACCTACTTATCCAAATGCAATTAGTTCTTGCTTGTAAAGTACACATACTTGTCCGTTTCTTTTTCTTGGAGTCATTCCTCATTCATGGGGGGAATTTTTGGGTTTTAAGAGGTGTGAATGAAAAATGAAGAGTTGCGACTTTTATGAAGGGTTGCGACTTTTATGGAAAGTTGCGACTTTTATGGAAAGTTGCGACTTTTATGAAAAGTTGTGACCTCTCTGAAAGATTGTAATTTTTTCAAAGGTTTGTGACCTTTCCGGTAAGGCACAATAAGAACCGTTTCGCACTACCCTTTGTTTTCTATAAATTGAGAAATTTCCTCTCATTTTAAAATAGAAATTTTTTTGGACTACTACTACTAAATCTAATATTCTAAGTGTACTTTACTGCTGTTGAGTGGCTCGCTGATACCAACGTTTTAGGTATCAATACACTGGTAATTGAGATCATTCTATCATGGGAAGACATATTCCAAATCAAAACCTCGGATAATAGAGGGGAATAATTTCCTTAAGGGGATACGGTGCATTCAATGGACTTGATCTTCTTTTTGTTTTTCCATATTCTGGTATGTGTTACAAATTTTTAATTTGTGAATCAATTACTGTTCTTCTCTACTTCACTAATTCATTGAATTTTGGTAACTTTGTGTTTCTACAAAGTTTGTTGGAATCAGTAAAATTCTTTAAACACAGATTGACAACAATTCTTCTTTAAGAAAATAATTCGTATATTTTTTCTAATCTGTTTTTGATCTTAGTTTCTCTAGTCTCTACTAGTTTTATTTCTAGTTGTGAAAATATTCTTAAACTTTGTTGTGTCTTAACAAGTTCTTCAAAGTTTTATTTTAAGTATCTTAGGAATACAAGATGAACAACATAAGTTAGTACACATAATTATTGATATTATAATAATACTTATATGTATTTAATTCTTTTTATTTATTTCTAAGTAAAATAATTATTTTGATTTCTTCCTCACTTTCACCTTTTTTTTTTCTTTCATTAGTTAATACACAGAAAAATAAGTTTTTTTAAAAAAATATTTATTTAAGCACTTGTGTATAAACACAACCAACTTACCAATTTGCATAAGTGTGTCTCGCTAGAATTTTGGTCATACTTCAAGGGTACTTATGCATTATCTGTTTATTATTTGATCTCCAGTTAAAAACATTCTATCTAGGAAAACAAGTTTGTTAAAAATGACTTTGCTAGTGGAAGTCGAGACTCGAGAATATAAGTTTTACAAGTGACATTTCAATGAAGGCATTTTACTATCAAGGATTGTGATGAACTGTGAAATACTTTTTCATCTTTAGTCAGATGTGTCACGTTCGAGTAAACTATCACATCCAACAATAACTTTAAGCAGATAGAGATGGGGATCTTTATTTATATATTGGTAATCCTTGTTGTTTTTTTCCTTTTTGTCATGGATAATGTTTCTTACCAGGCAGGTAAAGAATTGAACTAAATGCTTTTTCTCTTTATCTGATCCTATTCTGTTCTATTTTTTCTTTATAAGAAGAAAGCTGAAAAATGTATCTGTTTAGAATAAGAATGTGGAAAATACCTGACTTGACAATGAAGAAAAATCACCTGGTGGCCCAATATTGTAATGACTATATCATAAAATACTAGTCCTTTTTTCAGTTTAAGTGTGTATAAAATTAAGCTGAAGCAATATCAATTATATAAAATCAAGATTGTGGTTCATAATTTCACAAAAAATGGACAAACTATCTTCTAAAGGAACAATGTTTAGTAAAGAAGAAGGTAGGAACATCCGCGGCGATGAAACATTTCCTAATGAATATCTCATCACAATTCGTGAAGGTTCAAACTCGAAATCTCATGACATCAGTGAAGATGACAGACAATGGCTATATTCATTGGACAAGATCAGCAAAGAGTACCTTGACTCACTGCAGAGTCCAAAAATTCAAAAGGTACCAAAAATGCATCGCGAGATTGAATCAAACGTAAGGTGTTATGAGCCTCTCGTGGTTTCTATTGGTCCATTTCACCATGGAAAACCAGAACTTCAACTTATGGAGAAGCACAAGAATCTACTGGCACATCAATTTGCTGTTGATCAAGAAACACGCGAAGGGGTCTTACCATGGCTTTTGACAAATTCAGTGTCCCTTGCTGAGCTTTACAGAAAGGTCAAGGACATTATGCCTGTTGTCAAAGAGTGTTATGACGAGGACTCGATCAAAGATTACAACGACAAGGAGTTGGCACATATGATGTTCCTGGATGGATGCTTCATCCTTGAATACCTTCACTGCATTGTGACGGGGAACTATAAGGAGCTGAAAATGAAGAGCCATGATATAGCTTTCATTCGTCGTGATCTTTTCTTACTTGAAAATCAGTTACCATTTGAAGTCCTGGATGTGTTAATGAGCTGTAAGTTCAAGGACAGTGAAGGAATGGAGATGATAAAAAAGTTCATCTCGAGTGCACATACAAAACCTACTCAACGTCAAGGATTCATTCAAAGTATCAAGGATTTCTTTGTTGATTTCTTCAGTGATCAACATCCTGAAAACTATACATGTACTGAAAAAGCTATGAACTTTCTTAGCAAGATTTGTGGAGGAGAATGTTCTGCCCTTAGCAAAGAAAAAAGCACGAAAACTCAGCTTCCTGCTCATCTCCTTGAGCTTTTAAAAACAAATCTCATAAACCCAAAGGCTTTCTCAGAAGGTGGTTGCTATCTAAGGGGTGACTGGTGCTCGTATCGTTCAGCTATGGAACTACGTAGAGCAGGAATCCGTTTCAGGCCTGGAAAGAGTCGTCATCTTTCTGACATTAAGTTCACTTCATTTCATTGCTCAGCTCTTTTAACACTTCCACCTATAACCATAGATGATTCAACCAAGTCACAGTTTTTAAACTTAGCCGCGTATGAAGCATGTCCTGATACACCAGATGACTTTGGAATTACGTCTTATGTTAGTTTCATGGATTCACTTATCGATCATGCTGAAGACGTGAAGGAGCTGAGATCGAAAGGTATACTACTTAACTTTCTTGGAAGTGATCAAGAAGTAGCAGATCTGTTCAATGAGTTAGCAAGAGATTTGGTGCCTAATCCACATGCCTTTGTTGATGTGAAAGACAAAATTGAGAAACATTACAATAACAAAGGCAAAATTTGGATTGCTGAATGGAAGAACACTCATTTTAACACTCCATGGACTGTTTTTGCATTCATCGCAGCACTTTTTGTCATTTGTTTGCAAGTCACTGATACATTTCTAGCAGGCATCCAAACCTTCTATGCAGTCCATCCAAAAAAAGACTAGTAATGATAGGATTCAAAACTAACCACTTCAAGAATCTGTCACGTTTGTTCAATTTTATCATTTATTTTTCATCTTGTTGCTCTATGGCATTGATTGATCTTTGTACACAAACTAGTACTAATTTTGTTTTGTTTGTTTTACTTGTGTAAACCTACTACCTTGAAGCACATCAATAGTATTGTTTTTGGAGGTGTTTAGATGATTATAATGTAATTTGGAGTGTTCAACTGACAAAGTGAAGACGAGTTGAGATGTGCATACTCAGTTGTCAGGTGGAGTGTTTACTTGTCATCTTAGACTAAGTTTGAGTGTATGTTTATGTGTATTATGCTTTTTTAATGAAAATGTTTTACTGAGACCTTTAAATTACTATTCAGATAAATAATATACTGATCAAGACTACAATGATCATTAGACCAGTTGACAATATTCTTCTAACTAATCGAAAGATCAATCTCATTTCTCCGAGTACTAGTCTAAGCGAACTCATTTGGTATGGGGGATGGGATAAAAGAATCCCGAGACTTACTAATACCTCTACCAAACATATGATAAAATAATCCTACATTTTATCGTGAAAACTACTTCTTGATTGATACTTCTGATAAGGAAACACAAATCAATGCCAGTTCTTCAGTTCTTACACTTTAAGGCATCATGATTTTCTTCAAGTATATAACAGGACTTTTTTTATTTTTTGCAGATAACAGAATATACAAGACTTGATATCAGAGAAAACTTTATACAAAAGTATAATATAAAAGCTATAGAATACCTACTACTATTTTCACTCTAAAGTATCCGAAAAGCCACCTAGAAAAAATTAGAACTATATACACTAATAAATGACTAGCATTTTATTGATAAAACTTCATTTTATAATATCTAATTTATCTAAACTCAGTACTTTCGATGAAGAACATAAATTTATACAAGGTCATAACCCCATAATATTAAAACTACACCGAGTTCAATGCTAAAAATCTTAAAGATTGAACACGTAGAATTTAAATCTTGAACCCGTCTTTGACATAGCCCGTTTATACAACACAAGCATGAGAGATCTAAGGGTAGAGCTCAATGACAGACCTCAAACCAAGAGTCAAAACAATTTTGTAACTAGTAAAACCTGAAATTGAGAAAAGTTTTTCCCATTCTTTCTCGTTCCTCTCTTTGCTACCCACAAAAACCATCATCAACATGTCTATAAAGAGTTGTGCTTGGACAGATTCATCATCCAATTCCGTATTTTCCATCACCATGTCTATAATTATAACTTTTCCACTTCCTCTTAATGCCTCCTTGCAGTTTTTCAATATTTTCACACATTCTTCATCATTCCAGTCATGCAAAATTGACTACAAAATTAACATGTTCAAAAGTTAAGTAGAGAAGTGTCAAGACTAGTATTCTCGTAGTTTCTTGTTCGTTGATTTTTGTTATCATCTGTGTTACCTGTAATTCGCTTATCACAACTACTACATTGTTGTTACTCTTCTTTCTCTGTATGCTATGAATTGTTTTCCATAACGCTATATGTCGTTGTTGTTACTGCTTTGTATTTTCTTCTTCAAACTGTTTTAAGATGGTTTACTTGATCTGAAGGTCTATCAGATACAACCTCTATCTTTACAAGGACACTATACCTACCTCAGACCTCACTCGTGGGATTACATTGGATATGTTGTTATAAGAGAAACTAGTAATATTAGGGAATTATAAGCGAAAAGTTTAGTTTATTTACCTTGAGTAAGACAGCATTAGCAGGAGGAATTTTCTGAAACATATCCCCTGCTACAAACTCCAAGTTTTCACTTCCCTGCAAGTTAGCCACAACAGGAGGAAGATCAAGAACAATACATTTCATGTCAGGGAAACTTTTGGCTATGGACATTGCGACCGTTCCAGTCCCTCCTCCAACATCTACTAAAGATGTTAATCCTTTGAACACATCCTTATACTCGTTGCCAATCAACACGTTCATGAATGATCGTGAATCTCTAGACATGTTTTCGTTAAACCAATTACTAGTACTTGAATCACTTGAAAGTTTACTCCAGAATAAGTCTCCATATGCTGTATAAAATGCACTTGGATCATCATTCTTGAACCAATCACCTAAACAACTCCATGCTTTAAAGAAAAAAGTATCTTGATCTTCCATCGAGTTCCAGGGCCCGTCTTTCACTACATAACAATCAGCTGGTGCAAGCGAATAACACCCTTTATCATCATCAACGTTGTTATCATCATGTTTTTGTAGAATCAAGAAGCCATAATGAACTAATATTCGTGTAAGGCGGTGAAAATAGGGATATTTTGAAGGGCTAATAGGGAGGGAAGACATGAGTTCTGATATTGTCATTGGTTTGTCATGTTTGGTGATGACATTAGGTATGTCCAATTGAAGTGCACATTTCAATGTTACATGTTCTATGAAGAAATAGAGTTGGTTCCATGACTGTGTTTCAGCTTGAAGAAGCTCACTAGGAGTGAGGTTCTCATTATGATCAGCCATGTAAAAGTTTCAACAATCTGTGGAAAAAGTTGTGAATTTTTTTTTCTCAGAGTCCGGCCTTGTGATGAAAAAGGGAGGAAAGACGATGACGGGATCAGAGAAAAACTATACCTGAAGAATGAGATACTGATTGACAAGCGCAAAGAGTGCTTGGCTAGTAATATACACTCATTGTTTGTCTAGACTTTGCAGCTATGTCACTCGGACTCTTAAAAGATGACAAGGGGTGCATGTTGGATCCTAGAAAATAGTGTGAATGTGTCGATCTGACATGGGTGCAACAACATTTTTAAAGAGTCCAAGCAACGTATTTTGCAGTGTTATTTGTATGCATGGAAAAAGAATATTTCGTGGATAAATATGCTTTAGTTTGTGGAAGAAGATGCTATTGTGCCTCCCTTTTGTTTATTTCTATTTGGAACCATTATTACCCTTATAGCTTTTGCATTTGGTTCTTCAACATTTTTATAAAATATACTAGCCGTCCCACCAGCAGAAGCAAGAATCTTATTTCGAAGCAATCTCTTGAGTTTTTCCTTGTCAGAATATGCTAAGCATGCATAGTTTGACCCCTTCATGAATTTGTTGTTAAAGTAAATATGGACTAAAAATTATTCCTAATATGAAGTGTATGCATGGCAAGTGATTTGTATTTGAAGAGTTGGTTTTACAAGTGTTATTCACACACAATTATTAACAAATACCAAAGCAAAATTTACATGACATTTCATATAACTAGTAATTCCAAAGTGAGTCTTTAACCAAACGAGCAGTAAATCACAAGAATTTCAGCCATATGGTCTGTCATTATTCTATATAACATTTACTGACTCCCTTTAAACGAGTCGAAGAGAAGGAGGCAAGGAAATGGAAAAGAAACAAACTAATATGGTTCGTTCATCTTCTTTTTGTCAATAGAAACTCGGGTTTTTGTGTCAATAACCTCAGATAGTTGTTTTACTGAAGATCATTTTCTTCGTACCAACGATGCTATAATCCCACCAGCAATGAGTCCTATAGTGGTCACAGTGATTCCTATACCAATGACACCATCTGCATTGCATAGACACAAATGAATACAATTTGGTATACTGTTATCCAAAATCGAGCAAGCAAGGGAAAAGGCCTCGGATAATCATTACCTTTAGTAATTCTATCTTCAATAGCCTTCTTAAGCGATAAAGCTTGTCTCCAATCAGGTGCAATCTAAAGGGAAGAAAAAACTTTTAGCAAAACTAAACAGGGTGGGGTCTAATTCTGATTGTCTCAAATGATCGATAAATACAAGTTGATTTCGAGAGGTAGATATTTGAGTGAGTAGAGAATTCACAGCAAACGACTAAGAACAGTAAAAGGATTAGGACCAAACCTCGAGACATTGAACTGTAAGCTCTCTGCTCCTTGAATATTCCCCACTTCTGTAATATCCAACAGCTAAAAGATAAAGCTTTTCTCGCTGCTGTAGTGGACTACTGGCGTTGGCAAGTGAAGCTGGGGAAGAAAAAGAAGCAGCAAAAGAGATGATGGTTTATATAGATCGAATCCTCAAGTACGTTATTCATTAGACACATAAACATCCAATCAAACGCAAAAATAAAAAGATTTTAAGCAACAAAAGCCCAAAGCTGGAAGTAACAGTACCAGGAACCAATGAACAAAATCAGAGTAATTTTGTGATGATTCAACAGTAACATGATTGTAGTAATCCATTACATGTTCTTGACTCTATGAACTTTACTTCCTAAGACCATTTATATGGAGCAGTATAATATAGTTTCTACTACTAACACTACAAGAGAAACAATAGAAATTGTCTCAACAATGTCCTTCAAGTACGGGAACTTCATGAATGTGTGTTGCTTTAGAATTTCAAAGACAGAAGAGCATCAAGCGTATATGTCCATGAATATGGAGTTAAATGATGAAAATAGATAGTCGGTGGTAGTATCACAATTCACAAACATTACTAGATATGTAGAAGCAAGTCAAGCAACAACGTGTAACATAAAATAGGAAATAGATCTGACTAATTTTCACCCTCAAGCATAGCTATCCCTCGTTGCACATCTTCAGGTTGTTTGGAATGAACAAGAGCCCATGACAATCTCATATTACTCTCATTCTGTCCTTCATCAGAGGCACCTTTATTAGCATCTGCAACTTCTCTCTCGCAGCCCTATCAATATGCATAGGCATATAAGACAAAGCACCAAAAGCAACATAGTACAATTATCGCTTCATTCTTTGCTTCTCAGTACAAACCAATTCATTCAACTTCTCTCTTGTGAGACAAAAACTAGACCAAATATATTTATATGTTGTTGAAAACAATGTTCAGGGCTTCGTAAAAACTACCAAGCAAGACGACCACTGCATGCTGATATAACGAAAATGACGACTTCATCTTTATAAGTAACAACATTAAAATGACCAACACATAGCGTCTCTAATGCAAAACTTTAAATTCACTAACAAGAACGATATCAACCAATAGACTCTTCCTTATTAATAGTAACACAATTTTCTACTATTAATTAGAAAAACAGATCTTTCTTCAATGTTACGACAGCCTAAAGCATCATATTTCTCATAAACTTTTTATTCTCAATAACATATTTCTTCACAGTTTCTGCAACCCAAAGCAACAGTGTTCTTATATAATGGTCAAATCATACAAAACACTAAATAAGGTATGTCCAACCACCAACTAGCATGTTAATGACAAAAAAAAGCCAAGCTACCAGTTTGATCAAAATAGTTAGCTTTTGCTCAAACAGTACATTCGGTATGAAAAAAATCATTAAATATCTACACATATTAAGAATCCAATCACTAGCCCTTGAAGTACCATAAAATTAAAATCTTAGCTCCAACCACAATTACCCACTTATCAACAAAAATCATACTCTCTGACTTTGGCTCCAACCACAATTACCCACTTATCAACAAAAATCATACTCTCTGACTTTAACTTGGCACGGAGTTCAAATTTTTTTATTTTTTTTAATATTACCATCTTAAACTAAATATACGAGTCTTGCCTTCTTAAGAATGTCATGTAGCAACGAGAAAATGCTATTAGATATACCTGATACCTGAAATTACTGGAACCCCAAAATCCCAAATCATTAAAATCATGAAATATAAATGTAAAGATCAATGCTTTAATGAAATTTATAAGAATGGGTCATTCAAGAAAGCTTACAACAACAATGTCAGGTGAGGTCCAAGGAAGTTGGTCCCCTCCATTGATGAATGTAACAATTGGCCCGAATAATCGGTTGATTTTGGCCTCCATTTTCGATTTTAGGGTTTGTAGTCCACTAATTTCAAAGCCCTAATTAGCGTTAATGGTGAAACTCAAAATGGACAAACTGATATTTGGGGAAGAAACTGAACTTTTTTGCATAATTTTCGGGATTATAGTTCACTAAATTGGTTCTAATTTTAAGCATCATGTAGGTAAAATTGTTAATACTTGTTCAACTAATTATTTCAAATAATTAAAAAATATTTCAGTTTTATAGATTTGTTGCTTATTATTGTAACATCAATTTGATTTCTTGTGATTTCAATTAATTTTGGCATATAAACATTTTAGTTTCAACTTAAGCGCTACGATTTTGAAAAGGTATAATTAGATACTTTAACTTGTTTCAATTATATCTCGTGGATATATAATGCTTGCGTAATGATTATTTTATAAGTTGAAATGTTCAATTGACACGAAATGAATTGAGGTGTTTAATTATCAGTTAAAATTAAATTAAAATATCCTTCCGGTACTATATTTAAAAAGAAGTTCCGACTTTTGATTAACATGTATCTCACCTTGTTAAAGAATCAAACATATAGAGAGGGAATTTTAAATGTTTAAATTAAAGTAGCAAAAAACCAACCAAATGCAAAAAAAAGTTAACTTTGGGGTTTGGTAAACTTGTATGCCTTTTTATAGACAGGTTGGAATAAAAGGTTCAATTCTAATAAAGTGTTTTTTTTAAATAAAAATAATTAAATTATAAAGTGCCTTTATTTTTCTTTTATAATAAAGTGGCCTTTTGTTTTAGAGAAGTACAATTGTCTAAAACATTTCAATATATTGTCTTGGCTCATTCCATCAATGCGAAATTTCGATAAGCTTGTTTGCATATATATGTTTCTCGTTATGTTCTCTAAACATGCTCGGATTTTTCATATGTATCGAAGTTAATCAGTCAACAACCTCATGTGTAATCCATAAAGATGTTAGAGAAATACATTTATCCTTGATCGTACAAGATTTTCATAAGAGGGTTTATAATATCGCGGGCCACTTCACTCATGGCTTAAAGTTTTGGATTGATTACTCATTATTTTCTCTTTTTGACAAACCTTACCCTCAATTAGAATGGAACATTAAGTACATATTTTGGCCTACAAAGTTAGGTGTACAAATCTTGTCCAAAGTTATGCTAGCCAAACAATTAATTTCTGGTACAATAATGAGGTTTTGGCCTTGTGGACCAGACATAATAATAGATTTCCAATGTATTGCCACCATCCCTAAGATGTCTTTATGCACCTCTCATTTTCATCTTTTTCTTCCTTGTCCAGAGTGATAGCTACTGTTCAGCATCTTCTCAGTTCTCAATTCATAATTTGAGTTTTAAGACTAAACAAATACGCAAGCATCTAGACACCTCAACTCGTCTCTGTTTGGACAAATTCATGCGTCATGTCAGTATTGAGTGTACCAAGACAGTAGGGACGAGTTGGAGTGTTTAGTTGCTAGGGGAGATCAAGTTGAAGTGTCTATATATGCACTCTCAACGTTTAAGTGCTTATATACCGCTTGAGGCCATATTTGAATGTGTGTTTATCTATTCAGCTTGTTGTACTTCAATTAATTTCACGAGTACCTGCTACCTCCCACCATCACAATATATGTCGAAGTTTTTCACAGATGAAAAGAAAGCACCTAGTGTTTTTTTGCCAGGGAGAGCATAAGAAGTCAGTAAAGGATGTGAGCCTTTCAACCACAACAGTGCCTTCTACTTGAATCAGTTTTACTATTGACTTCTGACCAACTTCAAGTTTTTATATCAAAAAACACTAACTTGCTGATATATACTACCAGCTTACATACACCCCACAAAAATGTGGGAAAGCTTCAAAGCAACTCATCAAATAAGTTCATTTTTAATAAAAGAGGTGTCTGGACTGGTCTATGTGCACCTCGACTATTTGACCAGGTACGTGCTAGAACATCCCGCTAGCACATGTATCAAATAACTCATCCCCGCCAAGGCTAAGGCAAATGGAAAGGACTCACGTGTCGTTATTTTACTGAGAACTCATCAAGCAAATTAATAGAAATTCCTACATTGCAAGAGGTGTTGCACCAATGGATAAAAGCATTTACTTTCTTAATATACCAAACAAAACACAGAAACATCTGCACCATAAAAACAGAAAATAATACAAAAGCAGAACGAAGTTACAGTCATATTGTTAGAAGTATGTATCCTCAAAATCAGTCTGAGAAAGGGACATTACCTTCCGGAAAACATTATCCGTAGAATTTGTTTCTGCAAATCTTTTGGACTTCACCACCACCTGAGGTTGCTAAATGGTCTGACATGCAAGATAGAACATGTAATGAATCTACTCAAAGAGACAAATCAGTCTATCATAGAAAGAAAATCTACAGATATTATTAGTCATTCTAAACTGATGAAGTTGCACCATGTTAGTAAATGATAGACATCTACAGATAAATACTTCTCTCCGTTAAGAATAGTATATCGTGACTCAATTTCAGTTCAAATCTGTCTGAACTAACTCAAGACCTAATCGGAAATGCTGGTTATCTTCATAGCCTTAAGACTATAAATTGGCCAAGGTACTTTCACTCCAACAAGCAGCTTATCAAGTTAATATGTCGTTATGCATAGAGTATTACATCAACAATGCAAAGTTAATAGCATCTAAATAGAGGTAGTAAACCAAAGAAGGAATTTCTGAACAAGAATCCATGAGCTTATAACAGTTGATACTAACTAAATGCTGCAGAACAAACTTGTTGAAATCTTACCAAAGGTAAAGATCTCTAAGAGTCCCACAAATACTTCCACCCAAAATAGAAGAAACAATAACATTTCCATATCACATATTTGTTCAGAACTGGGCAAGCAAAGAAGAACATACTGCAGATATTTTTATTACTTTCGAGTTGTTCAAAAAGAAAATGAACACGAAATTTTCATAGGCTAGAGTATATGGACACTTGAAATCGGTCTACAAGAGGACACTGCACATTTCAATATCAGTACAAAAGTAGTAACATAAATTCATAGACCTCGAATAAAATAGTGGAAGCATGTACATGGCAAATGAGAATCAATAATCACGGGCAACAGCTAGTGCATCGAATCAGTCCATTTTCGTTGCAACTGGGGCACCTCCTCAACTTCCCTTCCTCCTCTTCAAATACTTTTCGACTTCCATTGCAATTTGGGCAGGGTACGAACCTTGCATCGCCACAGCTTCCACAAACAAAACCAGAATGCTTTACTGCAAAGCCTTCCACGAGTTCAGCCAGTTCTCCAGCCTCATGAAGTTGCTTAATCTCTTCTGCACCACCAATGTACTTTCCTCCAATAAAAACCTGAGGCAAGCTAATCACTTTTCCATCCAAAGCGCTTTGCAACTCTTTCCTATATGATGAATCCATAGATACATCTCTTTCATCCACACACACCCGAAAACCTCTAAAGATCGTTCGCACTGTGCAGCATTCTTCATAAGTCTTCCTGATTCCTCTTAAACTAGTAAAATACAGAACAATCTTATCCTCTGTACCCTTTAAATGGACATCATTATTGGGTAACAATGAGCTCAATAAACTTGCATTACTTGACTCTAACTCTATCGTATTAGCAATTTCAGGCTGTATTTTATCCTCCTTACCCTTTAAATGGAAATCATTTTCAGCCAACAAACTTGTGTTACTCGACTTTAACTCTATCGAACTAACAATTTCGGGCTTTGGACAATCTTCTGATTCTTTGTACACAAATCTTTTGGAGGACAATGCTTGTCTATAGCTTGAAGCTACATTAGGATCCATTTTAGCAAGCAATTGTTCCTCAGACAAATGCTTCCACAGCGGCTTCGAATCTGAGTGCTCAACAAACTCATAGGTTTTTTCCAACTCACTTGTGTCCAATTCACTATGGATATCAAGACTCTTAGACTTAACCTTTCTAGGGGACTCAATCTTGGACTGCACCATATGGAAATCAAACTCATCAAGTCCTTCCATGAGCTCCCAAGTGTTGATTACTGAATCAGGAGATAACGGGTCTTGTGGTTCCGTCCCATTTAGGGATTTTGTCATTTGGGTAGTAGGATTCTTGAAATTTCCACCATGGAAATTAGGGTTAGGGTTAGGGTTAGGAATTTGGGGGTCAATCAACACAAGGGAACCATAAGTAGTAGAGGTAAGAGAAACCAAATGATGTGTGTCACCTTTGCACATAGCAGGATGATGAACCAAAGGAGTTGGAAGAGACAGGGTTCTTGAAACTGGAGTTGAAGATGAATCTGAGTATGAATATGGAGATTGTGAATGTGAAGAAGATGAAGAATTCCATGGATTTTGTGGATCTGCTGTAACAAAATCATAGGAACGAGAAGCTGAACACCCCATTAATGGATTAATCAATAAAGACAGAATCTTTTGAACTAAATCCAAACAACACAAATAAAAATGAAATCTTTGAACAGATAACAAGAACCCACAGAACAAAAAAATGAATCTTTTTAGCTCAAAACAACAACTTAACAAAAGAAAAATGAAATTTATGAACCAAAAACAAGAACCCCACAGAAAGAAATGAATCTTTCTAGCTCAAAACAACAACTTAACCTAAAAAAAAATGATATTTTTAACAGAAAACGAGAACCCCACTGAAAAAAATTGAATCTTTTTAGCTCAAAAACAACACCTTAGCATAAAAAAATGAAATCTTTAGACAGAAATCGAGAACCCCACAGATCTTTTTAGCACAAAACAAGAACTCAACAGAGAAAAGAGAACTTATTGAGTAGAAAACAAGAACATAATGGATAAAAACGAGGTCGTTTAAGCATGAACAAGAAGAGAATTTTTAGCAAGAATCTAGTAACAGAAACATTTAAATCTTGTGGCAGAAAAACATTGAGGTGAAAAGACAAAAAAAATGAAAATCTTTTAGCAGAAAGCAGGAGATTTTACAATGGAAAAAAGTGACAATTTTTGACAGAAAGAAGAAATTCTTTTTGGGATAAAAGGGGCTATTGATGTCAAAGTACAGTTGGGAAGATGATGAATTGAATAACAGAAAAGATTGAAAATAAATGCAACTTATGGTAGCTTTGGGAAGTTAACATACTAACAGCTTATTTTCAAGCTATAGTTAATTGAATGAGAATAATTATATAGTGAAATTTTTCTATAATACCCTCTTCCTAATAACATTTCATACAAATTATGATCAATAACAATATTTCGTTATAACAATAATAAAATATACTATATCAAGATATAGTTATAAAAAGTTTGATGGTATTTTAGAAATGCCAATAATAGTTATGATAGAAAGATAATATTAATGAGCATTTCTTCGTTCTTAATCAGAAGATTGATATTCTAAGAGAAATTATCGAGAAAAAAGATTATTATTATTATAAGTATTAGAAGAATATTTTCTTGTTTCAACTGCTTAAGCAATCTATTTATGACTAATTCAAATGCACTTATTTAGGAAAACTCTTAGGAAATACTATTATAATATATGGATAAAGTCAATTGTTTTATGTTGAGAATATTATTGTTTTCTTGAATCATTATTTTGATAATTTTAAGTAAACGTCACCCTGCAAATTAAGTTAATTTAATGCATAAAAACAAAAAACAAAAACATGTCAGATTTATAATATATAAGGGTTAATGACATTTATTATTAGTCAATCAAAACAATTAATTTTGATATCTTACTTAAGTTAATTGAGTTCGTGCACTTTTGATCTCTCTGACAGTTCATATGTGTTGTGATGATAATTTTGATTTGTCACTTTATATTAACTATAATAATATATTATAGAATATACAAATAGTCAAACATAACATATTTTATTTTCTACATAAAAGGCCCAAAAATCATACTTTAATGAGAAAATTTGATCACCAAACATAATAAGGGTTTATAGCTATAGATTTAATTATTGCATTTCATAATTATAATTATATTCATTAAGAGGTTATAGTTGTAAATTTTTTTTCCGAATTTTATATTTCAGTTGCGAATATACAATTAAGGCAAGTATGTGAATTTCATATAATTAATAATTTTTCAAAATTTTATTTGTATATTTTGTTTGCCAATATACAAACAACGTAGTTTATTATGAATTTTTCATAAACCTCCTACGGAAAGTCAAGATAAATATATATAAAATTCTGAATTTATAAATCAGAAACAAAATTATACAAATATCGAATGTATATCAAATCAGACGAATAGCAAAATAGGCGAAACTATAGCAGCAAATTAGAATTTCCTAAACAGTACTATAACATTTAATATAATTTAAAATTTTAAGTATTTGCTATTCTGCCAAAATTTCTCCGTTTTGAATTGATTAAAAATAGGATTGAATCATATATCACAATAATAAAATACAAAATTAATCAATAAACTAAAAGTTTATTATTCATAAATTATATTTTAGTAATAATGTCTGTGGGGTTGTTTCATTTAATGTTAATTATTACTAAATCCTTAATAATTAATATAGGATAAGTATTGAGCAACTGTCAGAAAAAAAGAAGAAGTTAACATTGATTAATGATTAAGCAAACACCATGTGAACTCAATTGTCTACCAATTACAAGTATTAAAAAATTAACAAGAAGATTATTTTTGTAATTAACCCCTTAAAAAATTGAAAATTTTAAAATAAATGTAGATACTTTTAAAAAAGAAATAAATTGCAAGGACAATATAGAAAAATTGTAATTAATTTTTTTGATATAGTAAAACGATCAACTAACGTGAGATAACTATTTTTAGTAAGATAATCAACTAATATAAAATAGAGGAAATATAACCCGACAATTTCATTAATTATCTTAACTTATCAATTAATAAAAGACTATTTCTCCACTCTTTTCTTGTTATAAATATCATTAATTTCTAATCTAATCTACTATTTTATTGGATTAGATATCAACCTAATAAATAGGACGGTTAATAATTCGCTCAAAGTTCAAATTTACATGAATTAGATGAACTATGATTTTATAGGCTAATTTTGTCCATCTCTAACTATGCCTATCAAATCACACAACTTGAAATATATATATATATATAAGCGTGAAGCTTTTAACTTAAAAGTTGAATTACTATTTTGTTTTTAAACTAAATAAATATATTAATATATAATTAATTTAATATTAGATAATATTTTTTTATTTAAATTCATGCCTCTAGACACAATGGTTCAAATTCTTTTGGGAAATAGTTACAAGAAGAGGAAAGACCAAAAGTTGAATTTTTCTTAATAAATGTGTATATCAATTTTTCTTTATCAAAATCAATTTAATTTTGGCTTGGGACTGTGTCGGTGATTATTTCTTTATCACCTTTTGTTGTTAATAGAGAAAAGATATATAAGAAGTAGTATAGACACTAAAGGTAATTTCATTCATATTGAATCTTTATGTTTTTTCTTTTTTATTATTTTATTTATTTAATCTTGATTTTGTTTATTGTATTTTAATATGTTTTCTTTAAGTTTTTGATCTTGTTTTCATCAAATTGTGCTAAGAATCTGTGATACAATTTGTTAATTTTATGTGATCTTTTTAGTGTTATTTGCTTTTGATTCTTCTTTCTTAATATTAGATTTTGATGTATTCTTTGAATATAAACTTTTTTATTGGTTTTATGGTATTTGATATGCTTAGCCTCATTATGGTTTCAATCTAGACTAGAAGAGGTTTATACAGTTATTATTTTATTTTTGTGTGATCTTGTTAATATGTTGTATCATTGAATGTTTCTTTATATTTATTTTTTGACTATTTTTAGTAATTTTGAAATGTATTCTCGAGGTATTGATCAATTTTATACGTTATGTGATAGTTTTCTATTTTTTATCTTGGGATTTCAACTTTTGTTGGTTTTTTGACGAACTTTTTCATCCTTTAAGAAATGTAGTTATTACTGTCAACACATAGTATAGGATCATAGAGACATTAACTTTCAGAAAGTCATCGTAGTAATGCCACTTTTATGGTAACAATTAAAATAATATGGTTGAACCTCACTTTTATGGTACCAATTAAATTGAAAAGTCATGCATATATATAATACAAGTGTATGTAATACAAATGACCAGTGAATAAATATATGGTTCTCATATCTATATTTGATAATAGGGTAATATTACTTGACGTTTCAATTAATTCACAAAATTTGGAGTATACATGTCACCCTTCATCGTTTCAAGTTTATGATTATTTTTCTAAAAAATCTACTTTATGCCTCATTTATATATTTTATACTTGTGTCATTTAAAAAAAATGAAATATTAATTAATAAGGTACACGTGCGTTGCACGTGAGCAAAGACCAGTATATATATATATAACAAAAGACAAAAATTACTTGATTGACGTAAACCTATAAATTGACGAACAGAAAAAAAAGAGATTAATTTGGTCTTGAAAAACATACATAAAATAAAATTTACAAAATAATACAAGATTAAATACCACATAATTTATAATTATAGATTTGTAATTGGACTATCAAACTTCAGAAGCTCTGGAGCTCTTACAAATATAGCCATATCTAGTTCATCCCAATAAGACTATAACTTCAACTCCACCTCCACTTAGGTTATCCAGTAAATAGAACTACTTGTTGAGAGGCCCATTTTCCATGCTCACCCTAATGGGCCTTCCCAACCAAAGTCCCAAGTCATTACATAATTTTTTAAAAAGTTTCCTATTGGGTGTTCGGTATCCATATTGAAGCTTGATTATTCTTGATTCGCATTGCTAGGGCTCCATTATGGGGGAAAATGCTCCGTACCAAGGACTTTTTCATATGAAAAGCTCGAACCCAAGATGTTGATGAAAGAAGGAACAACCTCACTACACCTTCATTTTTTGAGATTCGTTATTACTTTACATTTTTTAGGAGAATAGAAAAGAATATTATTGGGAGTGGGGTTCATGGTCAGGGTTGGGTTCTTTGGTTGAGGTTGAAAATCAGGTGTCTTCAGTTGGGATCAAGACCTGACTCCATACCTCGATACGGGACCACACTTCCAACCTCGGCCTAGAACCAACTCCCAACCTTTACCAAAGTCCTAACCTCGACTTGGGACCTGATTTGACCCTGATCTCGACTTGTACCAACTCTCATTTTTGACATCAATCCAGGAGTTGAATTCAGTTTCAAACCCTAGATCCAAGACCGAAGTTTTCATTCCTGACCCTTGACCTGGCCTTAGACTCAACAATATAACTTCTGATTGGAGACTCAATTTTGACCTTGACCCATGATCCGACTCCAACCCTGAATTGGGGTTCGTGTGTGTGTTATTAAAGGGTGGAAATTCAAATTTAGTGTCATACTATTTGTCTAGATTATATCTAAATGTTTTGAAGTAAATCTTTTTTGACTAATGGAACACGAAAAAATAAGCAAGAAAATCAGACATTTTCCTTCCTGCTAAACACACCCTTGATAAATCTCGAAAGACTACTATAAATTTAAAAGCGACAACACTATTATTTCACATATCTCATTATAATACTATTCATACTTTCTATTTTTTTCACGAACTATTTCCTTTGGTTATTTAAGAATTACTCTTTCTACATCAACATCAGTATTGCTTTTTTACTATCTCTTACAACAAAACCTCCAAATTTATATATATGAAAAAACGCTAGAAAATAAAATAAAATAAAATTTGTTCGTTACAAATTAAATTTTTTTGAAGCCAAAGAATTTTCACATGTCTATTACCAAAATTATCACATAGAGCATAATCAATACTCATAATGGTTTCTTTAATTGAGTAATTTCTTTTTTTGTCTTAATTTATTTATATATATGTTGAGTTTTTGTACCAGGAAACCGTAAATGCTCTCAACAGTTAACTACCCAAATTTCTAATGATGTGATAAATCACATGCGACTAAACCCCATACCAAAGCGTTTTCAACTAGGATTTGCTTTTAAAAAACTAGACCTTCAGTGGCTCCAAACACTAAGTCACCAAAAAATTTCTAAATATTTTCACTAAAGGTTTTGAGTGATTTTTTAGCGGCGTCTAAGGTTTCAATAGACATTCACTAGTAAAACCTATTATTTCAACAAACAAAAAAATATGATAATTAATTTTCGGTTGTAACTTAATTTTTTAAAATAAATAATATGTACTATCAATATTAAAAACATCCAATATTATTACAAAATCATCAAAATTACTTCTCGACTCAGATCTCCTACTACATGCATCATTGTACCTTTTATGCATGCATATACATATGACATAAATATAAAACACCTTCAAACTCCTCCTTGATCAATATCATTTGTGATGAAGAAAAAAAACACAATATCATAATTCAATGCTAAAAATCAATGAAATCTTCTGTGGCGATATCTGGGCTTTTGTCGCAGCTTTTATCACCGCTAAAGGTCTAATTTTTTTCTAAATGAATCCTAATTTGCAACTCTTAGGTGGAGGGATTACCGGATTAGTCCCACGTGATTTGTCACGTCACTAAAATTTTGGATTGTTAACTGTTGAAGGTATTTGTAGTCTTTTAGGATAACAGAGGAGGTATTTTTTATCCCATATATTAAAAAAAATGGTATAAGTAATCTGTTTCGCACAGTTTAGAGGCAATTTTGACTGTTTTTCGAAAAAATAATTATATTTCAGTCTCTTGATTCTATAAATGGTAGCTCTAGTAAATATTTTTACTTAAACAAATATAGAAAGCATAATGGTGTCATCACTTGTTTCATTGATTTCCAAGAAAATAATCAAACCTTCCATCCTCACTCCTCCTACTAAAATATCTCACCAACTTTCATTTGTTGATCAAGTTATGCATATGTCTATTCATATGGCATTTTTCTATAAAAAATTTTGCAATTATGAACCTACACATGTATTATCCTTATGCTGGAAGATTGAATAAAGATAATGGTAATTATGTTGATTGTAATGATATGGGAGTTGTGTTATCACATATTCATGTACATTGTCCTATGTCTCAAATTTTTAGACAACCATAAACCAATGATGAACATATTGTTTTTCCTTTGAGCAACCTTATGCCCACATGAATAAAGGAAATTTAGCTACAAATCAAGTAAGGATAGTTAATTTGATTTTTTTGGTTTAACCATTTATATTTAATTTCGGAATCATCATTCAAATAGCTAAGTCTATCCACTTCAGAATAATTTTAGATATGTCGTATGTAAAGTTTTATATCAATTGAAGTTCGGGCACATATGAATGAAGTTCAAACTATTTTAGTCTGAACTTCATTCACATATATGGCCTATTGAGCTCTCTTCTTTACAAATGCGCTATAGATGCTAGAAAAGCGAATAATTCAGGTTCATTTAAGCCATCCTCCTTGTTTCAAGTTGCAAATATGCGCCAAAGGCACAATCCACCTTTGTCACACGATGCATGTGGAAATATATTATCTGGTTATATTTCATCGAAATAAATAACAAAAAAGACATAAATTATCCGAAATTGATACGTGAAATGAGGAAGGGGAAATTGAATCTTTATGCTAAGGAAAATTTGATTATCTCAGAAGTAATTGAATCAATTGAAAAACGAAACACACTATTTCATAACAATGAATTTGATGATTTTTTTTGGGAAAATTATATGGAATGACAAACATTCATAAGTAATTATATAATAGGGGTATAGTTTAATTTATTTACTTTATATAATTATAGTTTTTTTTGCTATAATTAATGGGGTCCACCACTATTATATAACCAATAGTATAAAAACCTTATTTTTTAATTTTGTATATAATTATACACAAAACAATTTTCTCTCTCCTTTTCACATTCCAACCTTTTCTCCTACATTTAATACTTCCAGCTATTCATTTGAATTTCAAATTGTTCTCCAAAATTAAATTACTCCCTCCCGAAGTTGAATTCAATTTCGTAAGTACTCTTTAATTTTAGTTGTTTACCTCTTTTTTTTTCCTTATTCAAAATTTGTATATGTATTCTGTTTATTATTTTTTTTCATATTTTTTGATGAAATAATCGATTTTGTTCTTGATAGATCTAAAATTGGTCACACAATGAATGAATCATCTTCATCTATGAGGATTACCAGAGATATTCCTTTGCATGTCAATTTTGTTGACATTTTACCATCATTTTCAATGGGGTTAACTCAAGATTTTGGGGTTGATGTAGGGTCTTTGGGAAAATCAAAACAAGTTCTACAAGAACAAACAATGGAAGAGTTGAGATCAAAGAAAAAAAATGACCCTATGTCAGTTCAAGAAGTTATTAACAATGCCAAAGCTAGAGGCATTAAAATTGTACATGGAGGAAGAAAGAATTGTACATGGAAGAAGAAAGAGGAAAGCTGTAAACATTGAATCAGAGGAAAATGCATCTGAAGTTGTCGGATCTGAAGAACATCATAATCATGAGGTAGTGTCTTAAAACACAAAGTTAGATACAATTTTTTTGTTACTTAGATGTCAATATACAAAAAATTATTATTTAAATATTGTATATAGTATATTGCATGTTTAGTACATACATGTTTAGTTATATATTTGTATATTTATTTAATTATTATATGTGTTTGTCGATTTGATTACTTTATACATACTTTAAGTTATGTATAATGAATAAAAATTTGATCCTGACTCAGGGTTCAAATGTGTTGAAGGATGGGGATTCGAGTATGATGTCATACTATTTGCTCAAATTATACTTAATCATCATAAATTACTAAAAGCATGAACAAAAAAAGTTGAAAGTTGAATTATAGTTTTACCCCTTCTATAAATTAAATTTATATAAAATATTTAAATATTTGATTGTATAAATTTAATTAAAAAGTTAATTACTTTTAGACTTCTAAAGATTAATTTCTAATTAAATATCCAATTAATTAATATTTATCATCTATAATCTATATGTATATAATAATTATATATATATATTTTTTTAAAAGTCTTTACCCAAATTGCATTTTTTTTCCTTCTCATAACTTTTTCCTTAACGCCTCTCATGATTAATATAATTTATGTGGATAAAGTATTATCCTTTATGATAAATAACGAAATTTAATAATATAAAGGGTGCAAATCTGCAAAATGGAGACACACGTTGATAATGTCCTCTCGATTATTATTAAAGAATGACTCTTTCTTCACAAATTTAAATTCATTAACGATTAATTACGTGATAAGAACTTTAGTTGTTCTTTCTACATGGTTTGCTAATTTTAATTTCTTTTTTCATATTCTTCATTTATTTATTGTTATTTGTTAATTACTTATTTAACTTTATACTCTTAATATTCATAACTCTTATCTTTTCATATTCATAACCTCCAAATATTTAAACTAAAACTTTAAGATATCTTTTGATATTCCTTCTATTTTATCTATATAAATTCAACTTTTTTAATCTCATGAAACCCCTACCAAGATTTTTAGGCTATCATTTTCATTCTATAGTAAAGTAGATGAAGAAACCTCTTGAATTTTGATAGGATATGAAAGGAGTCGATAAGAACTCAGAGAGTTATGTACAAATTTTATACTTATTTTTTCATCTATACATACATCAGTCTTATAAGAATAATGTCTACATTTGATCTTTCTTAAATCTGTTTCTTTTTGTCTTTTTCTTTTATCTCCATCAGACTTCTTAATTTAGTTTTTTATGAATGTTTTATTGTGTAGGTCTTTATTCTTATTTTGTAATTGTTACAGTTTATTATTCATTACAATTTACATATATAATTCCATGAAATTTTTGTCATTATAACATATCTATAAAAATTCACATAGAACACACGTGCAAAGCACGTTCTCAGAAACTAATAATCTAAAAAGACTACTATAAACTTCAAAAAAAATTACATTCTTTTATTTCATGTACCTCACCTACCCACCTTTTCTAAAAATTTTTTCCTAGACAATAACTTTTACAATATTGTCTATGAATTATTCTTTCTACTCAATATTACTCATTCTTTTTCTGGTAATTTATTTTTTCACAAATTTCACATGTCTATTATCGAAATTATCACATAGAATAGACCCACAAACCATACTTAAAATGATTAATGGCTTGCGTAACAAAACTAACCATTCTTTAAATTAAAATTTTATCTTAATTTACAAATTTCATGGAATTAATTAGCTCCAAAAAAAGATAGGAATAGACTCTATTCACCAATATATATAACAAGGGTGGAGCCACAATACAAATTACGAGTTCCACAAAATTCATCAACTTTGCTCAAATTTTGTATTTATGTTAAAAAATTTATTTAATATTTTCATTTATATTTACTTTGTCAAATATTTTCTAATTTGATCTCTACTTTTCCTTGTCATTTTTAACTAATTAAGAAAGGACAATTTCACCTCTATTATGCCTTTAATTTATTAACATTGAGTTAATGTCTATTAAAAATAAAATTAGTAAATATGTTTGGACCCTATCAATAATACGGGCGATATGGTAGACATAGTATATCAATCATACCCGAACAGAAGAAGCGTGTACATATAATCTATTCAACATTCAGTAAATTTTTAAAAAATATATATTTGACAACTTATAAATAAAAAATCCGACTCTGTCTCTCTCTCTATATATACAAATACATGAGAACTAAGAAGGGACGTATCCACGATGGGGTCAGTGAATCCATGCCCTCATCCCGAAATCATATATAGAAGTGTTATATATATATATATATATATATATATATATATATATATATATATGTAAAAAAAATATGTGTGAATCTACACTGAAAATATCATATAATGACATACGATGATGATTGTGTGCAAGTCTCTAAGTGAGATTAGAAATTTAAATATTTTATTTATCTTATTTATTTTTCTTTTTAAAATTGGGTAACACGTCTCTAAGTGGTTGGATCAATAAAAAAATAATAATTTTGAACCTATAATTTTAACATTTTAATGATTTTCAGTGATGAGAACCTAAATGTCAAATCCGATCAAATTTATATTTTAATCCACTTTTTTATAATAATACACCTATCAATCTCAAAATCTTGATTACGCCTAGTCTGATCTAAAACTAAAATGCTATAAATTATAGCTCTGAGGTTGTTCAAGACTTGAAAGCATAATGGTGTCATCACTTGTTTCATTGATTTCCAAGAAAATAATCAAACCTTCTATCCTCACTCCTCCTACTAAAAAATCTCACAAACTTTCATTTGTTGATCAAGTTATGCATATGTCTATTCCTATGGCATTTTTCTACCCAAAAATTGGTAACTATGAACCTACACATGTGCCTCAAATTCTTGAAAACTCACTCTCAAAACTTCTTTCATTTTATTATCCTTATGCTGGAAGATTGAATAAAGATGATGCTAATTATGTTGATTGTAATGATATGGGAGTTGAGTTATCACATGTTCATGTACATTGTCCCATGTCTCATATTCTTAGACAACCATACACCAATAGTGATCATGTTGTTTTTCCTGTTGAGCAACCTTATGCCCACATGAATGAAGGAAATTTAGCTACAACTCAAGTAAGGATAGTTAATTTGATTTTTGTTTCATCATTTAAGTCATGTATCCACTTTAGCACAATTTGAGACATGTAGTATATGAATTTTCATACTCAATTGAAGTTCGGGCACGTATGAATGAACTTCAACTATTTCTGTCTGAACTTTAGTATTGTTTACTAAAGTTTACGTACTTTTACTTGATGTTTACGTATGCAATCGAAGTTCAACTATTCGTGACATTTTGATTGCGGAGGAATAGCAATTGATGGATGCTTATCACACAAGGTTGGAGATGGTTGCACCACAAGCAATTTCTTCAATGATTGGGGAATTTTGACTCGTGATATTAATGCAACACTTTCTCCTCATTTTGTTGGAGAATCCATTTACCCACAATCTACTGATTCTTCTGCAGTAACAACTTTCAAGTCTAAAGAATCAACATATCTAGGGAAAAAATTTGTATTCCCCGTTGAGAAACTAAATGCACTGAAAGCTAAAATCGCGCGTGAATCAAAAGTTCAAAATCCTACTTGAAGTTGTGAGCGCACTTCTCTACAAATGTGCTTTAGTTGCGAGAGGAGTTAATGACTCGGGTTCATTTAAACCATCTTCCCTCTTTCAAGTTGCAAATATGCGCCATAGGCTCAATCCACCTTTGTCTTATGACACGTGTGGAAATATATTATCTGGTTATTTCGTGGAAACAAATAACGAAAAAGACGTAAATTGTTCGAAAATGGTAGGTGAAATGAAAAAGGGGAAATTGAATCTTCATCCTAAGGAAAGTGCCTTAGTTAAATCAATTAAAAAGGGGAAAACACCATTTTATAGCAATGATGAAGTTGATAATTATTTTTGTAGTAGTTTGATCGAGTTTCCACTTTATAAAGTGGACTTTGGTTGGGGAAGGCCCATTAGAGTGGGCATGGGAGCTGGGCCTTTTGACAAGTTCTTCATTTTATTGGATAACCAAAGTGGGGATGGAGTTGAAGTTATAGTCATGTTGGATGAACAAAATATGGCTATATTTGAAAGAGATTTAGAGCTTCTTGAGTTTGCTAGTCCAATTACAAATCTTTAATTATAAAGTACTTGATTTTTGTGTTGTTTTATGAAATCTCCAATGTGTGTTGTGTTTTTATTGTTTGCTTTATGTTGTTTATCATGTAAGATATGTATTCACGTCACTGGATTTTATAAAGAGTGTGCATAATTTTAAAAAGTACTCCTTATTTAATTATTTATCACATTTTTTTTGGAACTGATCTGATGTGAATTTTGACTAATAAAAATGTTTAAAAACACCCTCAACCTTCCGCTTCGCACTTCCAGCACTCATTTTACCAATGAGCCAGCTCCTATAATTACTCAAGTGTATACAAACCTAAATATATATTAAAATATAGTAAATTTGTCTTGTAGGTACGGTATAACTTTCCGATGAAGGGTATTCACTTGCGCATCCTTCGTTAGCTGTAGCTCCGCCCCTGATTCACGTGAATTCAAATTATATTTAAATATTTGAATAATATTTTTTTTTACTACTCCAATACAAAAAAAAATTAAGAAAATCAAACATTTCCATGTCATACCAAACACGTAATTTCAAAAGACTGATATAAAGTTAAAAAAATAACACTCTTTTATTTCACGCACCTCATCTAGTCACATTTTCTATTATTTTTTTTCATAGACAATTTTCTTACAATATTGTCTACGAATTATTCTTACTCAATATTGCTTCTTACTCTTTCTTTTTTTTGGTATTTATTTTGGAGCCAATCATTCACAAACACATGTCTACTACCAAAATTATCTCATAGAATAGACCCACACTGCATACATATAATGAATGGCTTGCGTAAATAAACTAACAATTCTTTAATTTACAATTTACATGGAATTAATTAGCTCCAAACGTATTATCAGTCAAATAAACACACTCGTACGAATAGAATTCTCTTATAATATAAAAGGGAGTTCGTGCTGAAGCAAGCACGTCTCTATCGCCTTCAACGTGTTTTACAAAAAAAAAATTTAAAATTATTTCTTTTATTCTATTTTAATTTAACTAGTGTATAATTTTATCAAAAAAAAGTTACTTTCATCGATGTACCTCCTTGAACATATTTTGATCTTTTTTTGAAATTATGTAATCCTTTTAATCAACGGATAGGGTGAAAATAAAGTGCATTGGAGTGAAGGAGCATACAGTTAATGTGGAATGCCACTTGTGAGACTTGTTTTACCTAATTCTTTTAGGATCTTCATTTTCGTAAATTCAAGGAACTTATTATCGGAGAGAAAATATTTCCAACCAAACATGAAAAAATTGAAAACTCCAACACACCCTTCACACAATCATTAGCTTTCACACTCTAGCTATAACATAACATGTAGTATTAAGTAATATTTTGCAGGTTTACTTGAAACATAAATTCAAGATCAACCTAACACTACACAAGCTTTTATAGAGTGAGCTCTCTCAACTGCCTGAAATATGATCTTTCACAAAAAGCAAAACATGTCAATCGATCGCAAGGAAGCAAAATCATTAGGTCTATGTTAGTTTCTTCTGCATAGCGTTGGACAGACGAGTTTAGTGCTGTTCAGCATTTGCAACGTGCACTCTGTAACGTTCAGACAGACGTTCAGCGACTCTGTTGCCAACAACACTGTCTATGAGTTCATACTTCTTATACGCTGCGTTCAAGATCTCTGTCTGTTTTTTCGCAAGATTCTCCTCCTCCTCTAGTTGATGCTACACAGAAAAAAAATGAAATTCTAACATTCATGTTTACTTTAAAAATGAGATCCTCCGCCCATTTTTACTTGTCCAGTGGCACACCGCTCCAGGAGCAATAAATAGAATGACAAATTTATGATATCACGTTTTCAAATATAATAAACTCAATGTTTTCGAAAATGACTAGTTTATAATAAGGATAAATTAGGAACCAAGTGTTAAATTAACTCTTGATTTTCTAAACTGGACAAGTGAGAGTGGACATATATTTTTAGAACAATGGACGAGTAAAAGTGTGACAGAGAGAGTGTTCTGCGCTGAAATGAATAAAGAAAGTTTACCTTGAGGCAAAACTTGGCTTCTTCTGCATGTTTGCTAACCAAATGCTTGATCTTCTCAGTGACCTCAAAATCAGGATCACTGGAGTCCAACCATCGGCATACTATCTTCCTACCAGGTTTTATAGGACGGTCATCGAACATCTCTACTTCAGCAGCACGTGCCCTGACAGGCCTTGGCATGCCACAGATCATAAATGAGGAACTGCTTATCTCGGAGATTATAGTTTTCGCCTGGTCTGCATTTTCCAGCTCAACCAATGCAGATAGTCCAACGGTCTTTGGTTCAAGGTAGTTTGGGATAAACTTGACCTGAATGACATTCCCAAATTGATCAAGTGAAGCTCTAACGACAGCTTCAGTAGCCGCAGGTGAAAGGCTGTCAATGAGGATAGTACGCTTTACTTTTTCTTCAAAAGCAGCATACTCTTTCATTAAACTTTCCATGATGAGTAATAGCAAATTTCACCTAAGCAGAAGCAATTCACCAGAATCTTTAGAAAAAGAGGTAAACCACAGTTCACATAATTTTGATAACAAATTACTGGCGACTCAAAAATATAATCTTAGTGCCAATCATGCTGCAACCAACTTAACGTAGTTGAAGGGTATTATGTGTATTGGGAAATGACACATTCGTGCTGGAACACCATGATGATGGCTGAAGTGAATCACACCAGCATTCTCAGCTGTCCTCTCCAGTGATTTCTGCTCTTTTGACCGATGGAGCAAAGTTGCAAAAATATGAGTAGCGGAAGTAATCATTACGGAGTTGGGAAATGACACAGCAGGGAGGGACTTGGCTGTAATATTAGAGAGGTTCATCGAAAATGGGAAATAGAAAATAGTGACTGCAAAATAGATTGCTGGGGATTACTCTATTTCTTATTTGATTGAATTTGGCGTTAGCAACTTCTCTTGGGGTCTTCCAAGGTCCATGGACGTAATCTAAACTACAAACGGGCGGAGTTGTTCTATGACTTAGCAACAGCAAAAGGATAATGGAACGTACTCTGATGTCTTGGAGTAACTTAATGAGACACATTTTCTGGAAGAAAGAATAATTAAGTCCTGTAACTTCTCGATACATTGGAATTTTCAGACTTAATTCTGGATATAGATCCGAGATTCCATTGACAAGAGGAAGATTCACTTGGCTGATTGGAGAAACATAGGGAAGTTTTACAAGCTCGAACAATTTCAATCTCAGTAAATTGGGAAGAAAAATATGCAAATACAAGGGAGTCTTTACTACTGAGACTTCTTTATGATCACTAACCAATAATGCTGGATTTGAATAGATAATCAAGACACCTATCAGATTTGAGAACATGCATTTTGAAAGGAAGGGTTTGAATACCAAGTAAAGAACTGGTTGGATTCAAAGTCCAAGAAGTTGACAAATAGGATTTATCATGAATCTAAAAGGAAAACTGAGTAGATTGGCATCAGTAAAGGACACAATAGGGAAACATGAAAATGTAGAACATGGTGGATCAAGAAACCAGGCAAAAACACTAGATTTGGTATAGACTGGAAAATACACATCGCTGCTACTACAGTATCTCCAAATTGTTCATTACTGACAGAATAATTGAAAACACAAATGAGAATTAGAATGAAATCTTTTACTTCCAACAGTGGAAGAAATTCATCTTGCCGGTTTAGTAAAAGAGAAAACTTAAGTAGAGAGTTAAGCAGTCATAGAAGCAGAAACTTCACCAGCAGGATATATGCTACCATGTCGAATAGATGCACAACGGGTTTATATTGAAAATGTTGGGTGATAGCCGATAGGTAAGAGAGATGTCCTGACAGCCTTCTATCTTCAGGATGGACTAGATGCATCTTCAAGAAACGAGATGAGCTTGATTGAGCTACTAATTTCCACTCGTTGTAGCTCAAATATAAGTATCTATAACTATTAGATTAATGCCAAAGTTGTTGCCTTAGAGGTTAGAAGTAGTCAAAGTATCGGATGCACAGAACATATTTTTTGAGAAAGCCAGCAGAGTCGCATACAGTTAGTAAATGAATGTCTGGAAGTGGATTGAAAGAGGAAACCTATTACTAGCGTGTAAGCTGAATAAAACATGTAGCCATGTGAGCCGGGAAAGGAGGATGAAACAATGAGTCATCTCTTATTTGCATAGTGAGGTGGTAAAACTTGTAAAGATATCTGGACTATATTTTTCTTCCTGTGACTGATACGGCAATGCCTAAAGCCGCTATAAAGTGCTTAACCACCATGAGGTGCTTTGTGGAATTTTAAAAAAAGTATTAACTTAAGAACCTAACAGCTTACAAGATTCAACATCATGTAGGCAATAAATATGAACAAAACTAGACAATTTCAGAAGAAAGATTCGTAAGCTTTTGCAGCACCAACTTGGTGCTTCTAATGTAGTTGTGACTTGTGACTGAACTGTGCAAATGTGCAATTATTAATAACATTACTAACAAAATAGTCTCTACTGTCTTTTTACAACAACAGCAACAAACTCATTGTTGTAAATAATGTTAGGGAGGCTGTTCCGATAGACCCTCAGCTGAATGAACAAAACAAACAGTGAAAAAGAAAAGCTAATAGCAACAAGCAGAAACAACAAGAAGATAATAAGATACCGAGGCTAAAAAAATAACTAGCACCTAACAACATTGTTGTACACAAGGACATGATACATAACCATTATCTTTGCTACACAGAGACATAGACTATACCTACTTGTATAAAAATCACATATTTCAAAGCTCAACCATCATCCAAAATTCCAAATTACTCAGTAACTTCAAAATTTAGTACTTATGTAACTCAATTTACCCAGCAACATTTACAAGGCGTTGAGAAATATTCAGTTAAAAAAAAAGATCCAAATTTTTTTGTTTCAACAAGATAAAGAATCCAGTATAGTACAACCCCTCCATCTCCAAAATTGAGAATCAAGTATAATAATGAATTCAAGAACACAGATTAAATTTCTTCAACCAAACCTAAATCCCAAGTTCAAGAATCAATTTTTGGCCAAACCCACCTCCTCCAACCCCACAACAACCAAAACCCACAAAGTAAAACAAAAAATTAAAAGGGAGGGGTTTTCCGATGCTAATTACCTTTGAGTTTCGCCCAGGTTGATGGAACCTAACTGGAACCTTCTTCAGACCTTGGATTGTGCTATTATGGTGATTTTATAAATTTTCCGTTAAGTCTTAGGAAAACTTCTAAGTTCCTTTTAACCCCCAAAACTATCTTGAAAATTACATATTGGGTCCATATTATCATCTTTTTATAATTATAATGCGTAAGTAAACCCAATTTATGTTCGAAATCTCAAACACACACATACTATACTAAGGTCCTAGTAACTCTTGAACTTATTTTATAAATAATTTTCTACCCCTTTCAACCTACGTGACACTATCTAGCTCAACGCGTGTTGTCACATAAGCCGAAAGGGGTAGATATATATAAAATAAGTTCAGAGGGGTATAGGATCTTAGTATAATATAAGTGTCTCTGAAATTTCGAACATAGATTGAGAAATACTTATGTATTTTCCCTAATTATTTCAAGTATAAATTAGAGATTAGCTTAGTAGTGTAAATA